ATGTGGAAATATTCGTCGCACAAACATTTGGTGCCAAAAATTTTTTTCCTATTTTTTCTTGCGCGACAAATACATGTAATTTTGGTAAAATTAGTGCAATTGAATTCAATTTGGAGCTAAGAATCGTGAATAATCACAAAGGTGAGCAATTTTGCATTACAAAATTTTTTTTGAGTCAAGCAATTGTATTAGTAAGTTAGATATTAGATTAGCCACCGACGGGGTTCGAACTCACACCATCATCATGCAATGACACAACATCTTTCCACCACTGTGGTAGAGGGCCATTTTCTTATTTAGTGATTTTTAATTTGTTGATTTATCAAAAGAGAAGAAAAAAAAATGAACTATTAAAAAAAAAAGGATAAATTACATTTTAGCACTTCAACTTTAAGTCTTCTAACAACTCGTACCTCATCTTTTAAACATTATAATGTCATACATCAACTTACAAATTTGTTTTAATTTCATACCTCAATCTATTTTTCTGTTAAATGCTAACATAGTGGATATGAGACCCACTCTTTGCCCAACTAAAACTCCACGCTGGCTTTATTATTTGAAAAAAATATATAAAAATTAAAATCCAAAAAAAAAAATTAAAAAAAAAATTAAGCCTCATTTCAAGGAAAAATACAAAAACACCACCACCCTCTCAAGAACCCTAATCCCCAATTTGAAGAAAAAAAGCTCCTCCGCCGCTCCAAATCTCCATCATCACCTCCCCCAAACACCATTCATATCGTCAATGACTCCTTGAAATTCACGACAGCTCTTCCACCAGGTTCGGCCGAGTCATGGACTGAGTTCACTGGTGATTCCGACGACGGCTCCAAAAAACGCAGGAATGACCGAAAGGTCGACGTCACCAAGCACGTCAGTTTCGTCTCCACCGGAATCGTCGTTCCCAACTAGGAGATCGACGACAATTCAAAGCCTCGGCGCACCATCGGGTTTAGATTTTATTTATTTATTTATTAAAAAATTCGAATTCGGATCCGTTGGGGGCGAGGAGGAGGACGACGACGAACAGACTTTTTTGCCGACAGCGTTTGGGAAGTCGAGGAGGTTCTAAAGACAAATTGGAGGACTTGGGACAAACGCGAGACGGTGGCGGCCGGCCGGCCGGGATGGGGTCTGGAAGCCTTCAGGGCATTCGAACAAAGGCGTTTAAGATGGAGAGATCAAATTTTGAACATAAAATTTAAATTTTAACAGCTTATGTGACAATTCAATATCTTTTAAAGTTTGTTTATTAAAGTTTGTTTATGTCAATTTAAATTATTATTTATTATTAAACTAATTAAAATTTAATAAAGCACATTTAAAGTTTAGTCAGTATAATTTATTCATCTTCTTTAATTTAAAAGAAGGCAAAAATAGGATAATTGCATCGTTCAACTCAATATTAATTATAATAAATGATTAAATTAATTAAAAATTAATAAAATACATTTAATAATAAATAAAAAAACATTTGAAGCTGCTGTCAAATTTGACAACAACCTCTTTTGTTGCCAATCCATGTCATCACCTCATACGATTTGACATTTCGTTTGGAGAATATTAGTGTGGTCTTTTTTTACTGTTATAGCTGATGTATACATTTTGGCATCTCTTTTGAAGATACTCTAAGAACACCCTTGCCAACAATTAAAAACTTTAATTTTTTGTCATTTCATCAAAATCAAGATCAACCCCAAATACAAACTTTTAAATAAAGATTTTTTTTAAAATTAATTTTAATTGTTAACAAAAAATTAATTATCAATAATTAATTAATTTTTTATTCCAATTAGCAAATGAGTGGGCCCTGCTGTTACCACGTTATCATTTAATAGCCAAATTGATAAAAAAGTTAACGAAAGTCTGACATTGTAACGAATTCATAAGTTGAGATATGACATTACAATGTTTAAACTATGAAATATAAGATTGTGGTTTGACCGTTGAAGTAATTTTATGTAATTTACCCAAAAAAAATATCTATGTAGCTTATATACGTACGTAACTGATTTGAAATTTTAATATCCCAAACTTATATTAAACAGTCAGACTGTGTAGCTGGATTGACAGGGAAAATGATTGATAAAACTCAAATAAAAACATAAAACGTGTGAGATGCTTGTAGAAAAAGGTTCACGCCACATACATGTTTGAAGAATAGTTATCAATCAAGAAACTAGAGACGTTATATTCTTACATGCATTATTTGTATATGCATAAAAGCAGTTTTCAGTTGGGGTGATGATCTCCTATGACCTCAGCTCATTACTGTTGTTTTTCTTTTCTCTTTTTCAGTCACTCTACAAACTTGTGGACCTTCAAATGTATGAACGATTCGTCTCCCTTCTTTTCACTTGATATAACAGCTCTTGTCATCAATGTCCCACATGACATGGCTTAAGATTCTTCTACTTCACTTGTGTATATGCTAAATTCACCGGTTCAATTCTATAGTAACAACATTAGCCACGCTAGTATAGACTTGGGTCTAATGTTCGTAACATTTCTTTATATGAGAAGTTCTGTTATAAGCTTAAAAAAAAATGAAAGCATACCCTAAAATCTTCGTTTTGTCTTTCATGATTGGATTGTAATAATGGATAATCTTTTAAGACTCGTTTGTTATACATGATTGAATTAGAATGATAAACTACTATATTAAAGATATGTTAAGAGAAAAACTATAAAATAATAAACACCTAGATTGGATTGAAGATTGACTAGACTAATCCTCTTCTTATTTTTATTTTTTCTTAAAAAGAGGACCAACCAGCGGCACCGCCCTAGGCAGTCCACTCTTCTAATCCTCTCTAAATGAAAAACCATCATTTCTGCCTTCAATATACCTTGATATTTAAGAGTCCTTCATTCTAATCCAGCCATATGTATCAAATGAGGTCTTAAATTCAAGGTATATTGATGGTAGAGGAGATAGATTTTTCTGTTGAGGCGAATACTAGATTAGACAATAGACTTCTTATTTCTTTATAAGTAATCCATCTTCTATTTTCAAGTTGAACACAATATTTTCGTTTCTTCATTCAGCATACCTTGAAATAATGATTTATCCATTATAATTCCTATAGACCAGGCCAATCATTAGATTCTTAAGATTATAAATAAATTAAAACAATGGTATTTGACAATCCAATGGCTCCAAATGTTTATGCATGCTTTTCTTTTCTTTTTCATGTATGCGCACCTGTCTTCCAAATGTTTACGCATGCTTTTCTTTTCTTTTTCATGTATGCGCGCCTGTCTTCGAATCAACATTAGCCATGGGTTGCTTAAATATCATACTTAACAAAAATGCTCTCCAAAAATTAGAGGCAGTTGGCCAGTGTTAGTAAAATTACAAAGTATAAATCTGAAATTACAAACTATGCCATTCTTCCGTCGTTGAAGCCAAATCATCATCCAATTATTACATTACTTAATACTGGACAATATTCAATCCAATAGTAATTATAATTAATTCTAAAACATCATCAATTTTCATTCCTCCATGAAGATGCTTCTTTGAATATGTACTATACGTGTGTGTGTGTGTGTGTGTGTGTGGTTTTGTGACATACAATTGTCTATGGAAAACAAGAAACAGATATATATATATATATATTATATATATATATATATATATATATATATAGAAGCATAATTATCTTTTACTCTTCTAAGTTCTGAGTTCCAGCACAGGCTTTCTATCAAAAGAAAAGTTCCAGCCTCTACGCCTCTACGCTTATCTTGTTTTGCATGTCGGGTATTCTGTCATGCATAGCCTGGCTGTATATGTGCATGCATGGTATTTCGAGTACTATCGACCAGCTCTAAAATGCGAAGGAATGAGGCATTAAAGAATATGAATTGTAGCTATAGCTAGCTGCTTAATTATATGGTATCAGTTAGACATGTACAGTTTTGAGATTTTCCACTGCATAAGTACCTTATAGTAAGTGATGTAGAAAGAAGTGACGTAAATAAAAAAAACAGTGATTGAAGAATTGATAACTCACATACAAATAGGTTATTTGTTGGTGGCATGCTGCAATATCCGGATATAAGTCTCGAAGGTGATAACTAATTGTGAACTAGGCCTAGAAGCTCATCTCTTCAGGTATTAGCACATATTTATGAATCCGAAAATCCACCATGTTACTGCAAAGAATACACACACACACACACACATATTCCTCTATATTGGAAAGATGAGGCAACACCTGTCTTTTGTCTTTACTTTTTTCTTTTAAACTATTTGGATATTTAGTACTTCTGGCGCAATACTAAATGCTTTAGCTCAGAATTTTCTCAGGATGATTTGCAAGAATTTTTTTGGGATTACTATGATGACAGGATGGTTGTATTCTTTGGGAGAAAGAGAACTCACGATTGAATCAGAGCCCTCAAGGTGATATCAAGTTTTCAATTGGGAATAGAGATATGTCATACTGAAGAGTAACCTGAACTACCGAACCACATGACGGCTACCACCTATATATTTTGATTCAATTGAATGTTTTATTACAGGAACTCCCAAATTTTTAGATCCAAAAAAATTCCGAATATATGACTAAATTCCAAAAGCAGAATCACCCAGAAATTCGTCTTTCCATGGCCAACAAAACCCTAAAGTAACTACAGCTACCCACTAGATCTACACATTCAAAAATCCTATATATAATGGGAACATGAAGGAAAGTATATATATTTTAAACTTAAATGATGGTACACGTTAGAGCATGATCAAGAAAAATTAACCACCAAGTTATATATGTTTAATAAACAACGATATGGACTATTAATGGCTGATGTTTAGAAAGCGTTTATTACCTTGTTGGTTTTGGATGCTGAAATTTTGATCCTTTTGCAGCTCTGCGGTTATATGTTTAGTAAGCAACGATGGATGGAATATTAAGGGCTGATGATTGGAAAGAGTTTATTACCTTGCTGGTTTTGGATGCTGAAAATTTGATCCTTTTGCAGCTCTGCGGGAGTATAGTCAGCTATTGCTGATGCAGCATCATCAAGATTCTCAACTCCTCGAGTTCAATCGACATGACTAAATCGATTAAATCATGTCACACTACTCACTTGTGAATCTTGATGATGCTGCACCCGCAAACAATGACTGGATCATCAATTTATCTTTCAAGTTACGGATTGAACTTGGACGATCATAAAGGAAAAAAGATAATATATAGGAAGAAATAGTAATGGAAAAAAGAAGAAAAATATATGAAGAAAATATAAGGAAAAAAAGAAAAAGGAACAATTGGTGTATTGTGTATGTCAGCCACAAGCATTGGCTGATGTGGTAAGTGGATCCAATGACCTGAGGCCTTGGGGGAACCCTAATAGAATATACGGTTCTCAACGACTGAGAAATTAAAAAAAATTCTTAAAAAAATTGAATTTTTTAAAATAATTTCATGAAAAACAAAAAAAGGAATTAGCACAAAGTAACAACACGGAGCCAACTACTTTTCCTTGTGTAATTCATAGATTCCATGGGTGTGAAGGACTTGTGGGTCAGAATACACTGTGAGTTATTTAGAAATCCGGTGGATGAGATTAGATGTGAATCATTAAGAAGAAGAAGAAGAAGAAGAAAGAAGAAGAAGAAGAAGAAGAGAAGAAGAAGAAGAAGAAGAAGAAGAAGAAGAAGAAGAAGAAGAAGAAGAAGAAGAAGAAGAAGAAGAAGAAGAAGAAGAAGAAGAAGAAGAAGAAGAAGGAGAAGAAGAAAAGGTTAAGAAGTTTAAGAAGAGAAAGAAGAATAGAGAAGACAGTTTGTAAGAAAGAAAAGAGAAAGAAGAAGAGTCAGAGAGAAGAGAGGAGAGAAAGAGAGAGAGAGGAGTAGGTGAGGAAGGGTTTGTTGTTTGAGGTGCTTATATATACACGACTTCGTTGGGGGAATACTTCCGTGACTGCTAGATGCATGGAGCTTGTGTACCTACGGTTGTGATACACCACGTAATAGGAAAGGGATCCTCTCCGGATCCCTTCCACCTAAGCCTCATGCCCCACAAATCCGGACCCTTGAAATTTTATCTAATGGCTACAAATAGGGAACCCCATTAAAGTTATAATATCTTCAACCAATAATACTCTAGATACAGTTTGAGACTCATGAACATTTACCTACTTCAAATTCTAAATATATGTCATGATCTCGAGTACTTAGATATATGTCACATAATAAATCTGAGTACTCGAGATCATGACATATATTCAGAATTTTAAGTAGGTAAATGTTCATGAGTCTCAAACTGTATCTAGAGTATTATTGGTTGAAGATTTGAACCTTTATTCAATCAATCATAGAGTTCGAATTCAAATTAATACACCAACAATCTTCACCTTGACGAAATCCAAAGAAAGACAACCCGTTCAAGAGCAGATTTACCTTCTCCAAAAAATTCACGCTACTTGTCTCAACTCCTTCACTTTCTCTTAGTGGCAGATTCACAACTCGAACTTTTTGGAGTCCTACTGTAAAAGGTTCAAAAAAATTTGGACAATAACACGAACAAGCACTGGTGGTGGTTGGTGGTAAGGTCATTCTTGAGATTTTGAGGTCAAGGAAAATTAATGAAAATAGCTTGAAAACTTTGAGTTTTAACAATAAGGACAAAATAAAGAGTAAAGTGAATAGTACTATGATTGACTTTTTAGTGTAAAATGTGGTTTTTCGTTAAAGTGAACAGTACCGTGAGCTTTTCGTTAAAGTTCCTTATTAAAAAAAGATGTCTTAGTATAACTTCACATAATTATTTTTGTATTAAACTTATAGTTGTTGGGTGTTTTTTATTTCTATTTTACTAACATTTTACCAATTGGCAATATCGGTCCCATTAGAAAAATGTTTTGAGTTTTTTTGTTTTTATATATAAACAATGAATGAATACCAAATTACAGTAATAATTTTTAAGGATCTTAATGGACATACTACATATATATTGTTCTAAGACCATGAAGTTGTGAAATTATATATAAAAAAAAACTACTATTTTTTGTTCCAGACAATATATTTAAAGTTTTAAACATAACACCATTGTAAAAAACGAAAAAGGCTTCCCAGCAAAAAGAAAAATGGGCCCTAATTTGTTGCTAGGGAGATTTGACCTTTCGTGGTATTTAAAGAAAATGAATATGCGTGCAAAAACATAACCTCATATGTACTGACCAACAAGATAATTTTGGTGCCCCCGAGAATGCGGCCCCCATGCGGTCACCCGGCTCGACCTATGGGTTGAAAATGGTTATAGATAATATCGTTTATTCAGAAGAAAAAAATTTGAATTTTGAAGTTTTCTGAATTTCTAATTGAGTCTAATTTGCTAGTGAATTCTACCTTAGTTATCATGTTCAATATATCGCATTGCATCGGTGTCAACTATATATTGCAGACAGAGAAAAATGCAGTCATAATTTCTTGCTCCCTTCATTTCAACTATAAATTATAAACAAACAAAAAGTTTCAATTTTCGCACATTTTTTTTAGCTTCTCTCATACCTCTGTTTATTATTAGTTATCAGATTGAATAATATTTAACAGACAAAATAAACAAAGGTGTGTTGGAAGAAAAAAAAAGCGTGTGGTTATTATTTCAAAAAGTTGGACATTTAAAAAGATAAAATGTATAAATTGATTAAGTTTTAAACCCTCAAAGTACAATATGAGAAAATTGAAACCAATAACATTTTTTGAAAACCACATCAAACCTGAAAGTTGTAAATTATAATTAGCCCTCTATTGTTGTATGATGCATAATCCGAGAAAATTGAAACCCATAAAGTTTTGTGAACGATGTGTGAATCGTGTGACAGTCTTCTTGGATGAGTAAAGCAGAGGGCTTGTAGCATATGCATTCTTCTTTTACTCAATTATTCTTTGGACCCTTTTTTTCAAACAATCCAAAATCACTCCTTTTCTTAAGAGAGTTTACAAAGTCAGATTGAATCTCATCAAACTAAGGAGAATATTTCTATTAAGACAACTGGCCTCAGAGCAGATTAAGCTGGAAATCGTTTGGGAGAACGGGTTAGCTTTTTCGTTTTATGAACCTAGAAGACAAAGAATGGATAGTGATTTTCATACTCTTAAAATTTTGGAACCCACCATCCTAATGTAGTGGAATCCCAATCTAGCTTTATATGCAACAACTATCACCTCACTCAATTGGTTGGGTACACACGAATCGTAATGAGCATAGATTTGTTGAAAACCCACCTCCAAAAATATAAGACGTGTTCTGGGGATTTCCCTTCTAATTAGTTTGCTGCAGCAACAGAATATTAAAAAACGTTTTCTTTTCTGAAACCAAAAATTCTCAGAGTTAATTTTGAACTTCTGAGACACCCAAAAAACAGTATTTGCCCGACAGAGTTCTACAATTCGTCGGACCAAAGTTTTAACTACGATCTTTGCCCGATTAATTTTGCTCAACGAAGTTCTGTCGGCCAAAACCTTTGACGACGAAATCCTTTCATCTGGAAATGGTGGTTTTTTTTATTTTTACAGTGACACTTGAGTTATCAAAGCTATAGAAGGACAGTTACCATTTTCACAGAGTGTGCATGGACATAATCATAATCATGCAGCTGATTTCACCACACTAATCAAGGACTAAAAGTTTTAATTCTATAATTACTGTGGGTTATTCGAAACTTTTCTCTAAATTTCAGATCATAAGAAAAAAATAAAGCAATTGATAGTTTCATTTTCAAGGTGCATGGTTATTAAAATTGTTGCTGATTTGACTGGATATTTTACGCGTCTCGCATTTTTTAAAATTCAAGCGTATTGCTATTTGAATTTATATTAAGAGAAGGGGAGAGTCTGAACTTAGCATGTTGAATAGAAATATCCTAATTACTAGGACAATCCATCATATGTGAACCTAGAACCACGTGATTAATTAAAGGCCACGCACTCTACCAACTAAGCTAAGGATGGCTTCTTTTAATTAGTTATTCCCTCCAAATTAGTTTTAATTTTCTCACTAAATTAAGGGCAGCACATCATTTGCACATGTAGTGATATTTGAATGCATTAAGATCCTCTTTCCCTTGTTATTTCATTTTGTTTGGTTGAAGTGTTGACCCGAACCTCGTCCAGTCATGTGCATTATTCCTCAAGTGAATACCAGCTGAAAATATCTTCATAACTAATGTCTCCAGCAATTCAGAGTAAGCTTTACCAAGTAGCCACGCTAAGCTTTATGGTCAGAGAAATGCTTAAGCAATTCTCTTGTACGCTTTGCATATGAATCAAAAAATACAGGTGTAGTAGAAACTATTTGTAATAATACTAAAGGATAATTTCCATGAAGTGAAACAAAATTCCGGTCCAAACTTGGACAAGTTATATATAAAAATAAACTCAATGTTGTAATATATTTTTCTAGGTTTCTTTTAAGAAACTTGCCCCCACATATAATATGTTAATAAGTCCAAAAATATGCAATTTACAAATAGAATATTAAAATGAAAATAAAATATTTCTTTAAAGTTATATGAGACGATGATTTATTGTTATGTACATGCAATAACTTTTAGAGATTAGATATTTGTCTCTTTTTCTAATGTTATAATTTAAAATTGACATGCTCTACTACAATGTGGTTCCTTGTGTTGGAGAATAGGATCCTACATGGGTCATATAACAAAATAATATACAATTAATATAACACCGAGACCTTTAATGGTAAAACCTCACACCAAGTAATAGGTAGTTAAGTGAAAACAACATCAGCGATGTTGGTGGTGGACCTGCATGAGCCTACAAGGTTTAACATGGTATCAGAGCCCACACCTACTGAATGTTTTTAGTATTAATTAGGGTTCCTTAATTGTCTATTGTAATACAAGTTATGTGTAGCCTTTTACACATCTATTGCCTCCGATTAAGAGAAGAATACACGACAAATAAAATTCTATATTTATCTTGGTATTAGAGTAGGCTATTCTTTTGGCACATTTTGGGCCCAATTTACAGTGCTCGAATTTTGTCTCCTTAAGTTGAGTTTTTGAAAAGTTGTGCTAACTCTAGTTTAAGGCTATTCAATGACTGGGCTTTCGAAAAGTTGTGTAGGTTCTAGTCCCTGAATGATGACCGGTTGTGTTAGCTC